ATAAGCATTTGGCATAGTGTTTTATTAATATATTTGTTAGTACTTGTTCATTGTGGAAAAGTGTTATTGACTAAAATCAAATATAGCTACAGAAACCACTTGCTCAACTTCCTGTAGTTCAGGATACACAGATTTTGTGTATACATTGCTATAATATTACACATAAGAATTGAAATTGCATTTCAAAGGATCAATGGATGCTATTATTTGTGAAACTGAACATTTTATGGGCTGCTTGTAAACATTATCTATAAATCAGTACTTGGGAAAGTTGTACTTTCTTAACCTATGAATACCAGGAATAAAATATGAAAAATTAAACATAGAACAAATTACCCTGGGAGCACAAATCTTTGAGAAGTTGGAAATACCTCTCTCCTCCAGGGGAAAATTACTGGGCAATCTTTTCCTTAGCTTCCCCACTGCGCGCATGCTGATCTATGCCATCCCTTTTGTTGTTGTGCAGCAGTCATTAATGAGATGGAAATAGTGGGCCGTACATTCCATACCAAGGGCAGACTCTGAAGGGCTCAGCAAAGCAGGGAGAAATGACCTCCAACATGTGTAAAATTCTCCACCTTTCAAATTCTTCAACTTATTTCAGAGTCATCTCATGACCCTCCTATTTAGCAAATTCAGGGGACAAAAAAACTTGCCACGTCCTTCTCCACTAAGCCAATTCTCTGAAAATGGATAGACAAACAGACTGGCCTCAGTGTTTATAAATAATTTTGACAGTAATATGGATAGAGAGGCTTCCCTGGTGGCTCAGCTGATAAAGAATCCACCTGCAATGCAGGAGACCTGGGTTCCATCTCTGGATTCGATCCCTGGGTTGGGAAGATCCCCTGGAGAAGGGAATGGATATCCACTCCAGTATTCTTGCCTGGAGAATTCCATGGACTGTATAGTCCATAAGATCACAAAGAGTTGGACACGACTGAGCAACTTTCACCTTCACTTTTCACTTTGGGATAGAGAGTTGCCTTTCCTGGACATGGCTCTATACTCTTCCTCACTGCATGCAGTGCTGACTGCACCTCCATCACTTTCTTGCACATTTGCATGCCTCTTCCTGTGATCAAAGGGTTGTGCCTGTGGCACTTCAACCATTCCATTTGTTCTGAAAGTGGAACACCTTTGGCCAATTTGGTATGGCTTGAATGAAGAAAGTTCCAAGGGCTCTTCTAAGTTATCTTCTATGGAAGTGTTTCTTACAACCACCCAGTTGCTGCATTTGAAGAAAAGCTTTACTTGGTATTTGCCCCACATTTAATCTAAAGTCAAAGGATTTAGAATTTTGAAACTGACCTATGGAGCAGAGGTTGAAAGCACTTTACTCTTGTTCAATACCCAGGTTCTCTTACTGCCTGGGTAATCTACCTGGTCCCTTTCCATAAACATTTTTTTTAACCCTTTCAAATCTTCAGTATAAATTTATTACCTCTACCATCATTTGTAAAGTTGGAAAATCACCCCTTCAGCTATTTGATAGGCTTCCCAAAGTGAAGGATTTGATATTCATCAACTAGAGCAACTCAGAAGCAAGTTGCTCTTCCATCACTTTCCTTTCTTTCCTTTCTTCACTCCCCAGTCCTTCCACACACAACGCTGGGAGGAGAGCACTCCTTCTCAGGTGACGGGCACCATCTTCTTGGCACATTACTGGGTAATCTGAGGCAGAAACAAGAGGATATAATTTCTTTCCTCAGGGAACATTTGGATGCTGTTATAGACTGAATGTTTGTGTCCCCCCACATTCATTTATTGAAATCTAATTCCCAATGTGATGGTATTTTACCAAGTAAAGCTTTGAGAGATAATTGGGTCAGAAAGGTAGAGCCCTTGTGAATGCGATTAATACCTTTACACAAAAGGCCAGTTCTGGCTGTTGTTCATACGCTCAGTCTGACTCTTTGCAACCCCATGGACTGCAGCACACCAGGCTTCCTTGTCCTTCACGATCTCCTGGAGTTGGCTCAGATTCATGCCCACTGATGTGGTGATGCTTTCTATCTCATCTTCTGCTGCCCCCTTCTCCTTTTGCCCTCAATCTTTCCCTTCATCAGGGTCTTTTCCAATGAGTCGGCTCTTCACATCAGGTGGCCAAAGTATTGGAGCTTCAGCTTCAACATCAGTCCTTCCAATGAATATTCAGGGTTGGTTTCCTTTATGATTGACTGGTTTGATCTCCTTGCAGTCAAACAGACTATCAAGAGTCTTCTTCAGTACCAAAATTTGAAATCCTTTGGCACTCAGCCTAATTTATGGTCCAACTCTCACATCTATACACGACTACTAAAAAAACCATTGCTTTGATTATATGGACCTTTGTTGACAAAGTAATGTCTGTGCTTTTAATATGCTGTCTAGGTCTGCCATAGCTTTTCTTCCAAGGAGCCAGCCTCTTTTAATTTCATGGCTGCAGTCACCATGGCTGCAGTGATTTTGGAGCCCAAGAAAAAAGACCAGAGAACTTGCTTACTCTCTTTCTGCCATGTGAGAATACAGTCAGCCACCTGTAACCAAAAGGGAACTCTCTCCAGAACCTGACCACGCTAGCACCCTGATCTCAGACTTCCAGCCTCCAGAACTGTGAGAAATCAATCTTGGTTGTTGATAAGCAACCCAGTTTGTGGTATTTTGTTACAGCAGTCCAAGCTATTACAGATGCTCACACTCTGAATGAAAGAAATCCTTATATTTCATTTCAAAACATACTTTCTCCTTGACTTTCATCTTCAATCTCTTCCTAACAACCCTGCGTCTTTTTCTTTTTTTCATTGTACTCTCCCTCTGGCAACTCTATTCTTGCAAAGCCATGGCAGTACATCTTTAAATTAATTTTTTACATAGAAAACACTAAAAGGAAAATCTCTACCATCATTAGTGACTAAGTATTGAGAACCTATAGTCTCAGTCCTCCTCCATGTTACATTCTTTGTATTCTGGGATGATAACATTCAATATATTTGAATTGTTGACATATTGAAAATACAGTTTAAGATATATTCATATATATATATATATATATGTTATATTGGTATGATAATAGCAATTTAGAATATGGAACTCAAGAGACAACTATTATATATATATATACTATATAGAGAGAGTTATATATGAATAGTATACCACATACTATTTATATGAAAATTAAAGTCACACAGTTGTGTCCGACTCTTTATGACCCCATGGACTATACAGTCTTTGGAATTCTCCAGGCCAAAATACTGGAGTGGGTAGCCTTTCCCTTCCCCAGGGGATCTTCCCAACCCAGGGATCAAACCCAGGTCTCCCACATTGCAGGTGGATTCTTTACCAGCTGAGCCACAAGGGAAGCCCAAGAATACTGGAGTGGGTAGCCTATCCCTTCTCCAGCGGATCTTCCCTACTCAGGAATGGAACCAGGGTTTCCTGCATTGCAGGCAGATTCTTCACCTACTGAGCTATCAGGGAAACCCATTTATATAATATATATACAGTATATTATCTTTTTCTTGAAATTTATCCAAATACACATACTATAATACAAAACATTTATTAAGATAATCAGGGAAATCTGGACACTGGATATTTGATAAAATTTATTTTAGTTGCAATACTGGTATTGTAGTTTTTCTTTTTTTTGTACAGTCCAGGTCTTCATTTTTACACCCTTCAGGCCATGAATTCATAGGGAATGGGCTCCAACAGTTCAGGTTCCTTCCCATTGGTCTTCACAAAGTGTGCTTCTCTGGGTGGAGCAGGCTGGCGCTTCAGCTGAACCCAAGTCCCTTTCTCTTTAGGTTCCTTCTTTTTCTGATCATTTTCCTTCACACGTTTTAGGAAGCTATTTCGGCTCTTAGAGTGCTTAATATGCTCAATACGCACATTAATTCTCTTGGCAAGAATCTTGCCCTTAACTTGTTTGTTTACAATGATGCCAACAGCATGCTGGGTAACACTGTAGACTCTCCCAGTTTTGCCATGGTAACATTTGTGGGGCATTCCTTTTTGAACAGTACCCATTCCCTTAATATCTACAATATCACCCTTCTTGTAGATTCGCATGTATGCGGCCAAAGGAACAACTCCATGTTTTCTAAAAGGCCTAGAGAACATGTAGCGGGTGCCCCTCCTCTTTCCCTTTGTGTTGGTCATTTTGGCGAATTAGCCGGAGGGGCTGGGGGAGAGACGGAGGCGGCAGGAGCCGCGAGTTGGCCTTTTCTTTTTTTTTTTTCATTTATTTTTATTAGTTGGAGGCTAATTACTTTACAATATTATAGTGGTTTTTGTCATACATTGACATGAATCAGCCGTGGATTTACATGTGTTCCCCTTCCCGATCCCCCCTCCCACCTCCCTCCCCATCCCATCCCTCTGGGTCTTCCCAGTGCACCAGCCCCGAGCACTTGTCTCATGCATCCAACCTGGACTGGCGATCTGTTTCACACTTGATAATACACATGTTTCAATGCGACACAGATGTATAGGACAGACTTTTGGACTCTATGGGAGAAGGCAAGGGTGGGATGATCTGAGAGAATAGCGCTGGCCTTTTCTGTAGTTTTTCTTAACTACTCTTTTAAGGATACTAAAATACTTTTGGATGAAATGATAAACTGTCTGGGACTTGCTTCAAAATAATCTGGAGGCAGAGGTGAGTGAAGAGCCTCATGGAGGAAACAGGATCACTACACGCTACATCTTTTCATCTGTATGCTAAAATTCCCCACCATAAAAAGTAAGAAAACACAGAGAGACAGACACATATTCACTCGGACACCAGTTGCTCTAGTGAGAAGAGTCCAGGTCTCACCCCCAAACTCCCCGGCCTCCTGCGGAGAGACGGAGGCCCAGTGTCCCAGGCCACACTCCTGAGCGCCTCGGCAACAGGGGCCGTCTGTCCCTGGGAGCAGCACCGCCGGTTTCAGCTGGCTCGTGTGGGAGAGGTGAAGGAGGCCCAAGTGAATGGACATGTGTCCCGATACACAGAGGAGGAGACGGCCGCACGGAGGTTAGCGTCCGCAGGGAAGCAGGAGAGGCCGCTTGCCCTCGGAGTCCAGGTCCTCTCGGTGATCTGGGCCCACTGGGTTCAAGGCATTCAGTGCTAGGAAGCTTCCCCAGGGAGGCACCTGGGTGTGGCAGCGCTCAGGCTCCTGGCTCACGCTCAGCCTCAAGGCTGAGGAGGGCAGGACTGGCCTGGAGCCTGGCATACTCTCTATGGTGAGCCAGCAGAGACTCAGATCTCTGTATTGCCTCCACTCCTGCTTCTCACTGCAGGATAGCACAGAAGATGGAAACGAAGAAGGTAAATTCAAACTGGGGTGAGGTAGGAGCACCACAAACATTTAACTCTTCCCCATCCTTGGCTAGGAGTGGGAGGAAACAGTGCCTGGATGGTAGAAAGAGGATGGCAATCATTCACGGAGACAAGCCAAAAACTGGGGCCCTGGGGACTGCCTGGCCTTTGGAACCCAAAATATGACTATTTGTGTCACAAGTATATGTTTTGGGAAAGTGGCTGCTTGTACTTCATTTCCTTTTCATTTGTCCAATATCAGCCTCCCCCAGTATCACTTTTTATTGAATACCTGTGTCAAACATGTTATCTCCTTTAATCTTTCCCCAAAGTTACCTGAAGGACAAACGCCACCTGAGGAAGGTGCCATTAGCCTCACATTATAGATACAGAAGCTGAGGCTGGAAAATTAAGCAACTTCCCGGAGTTCATATAGCTTGTAAGTGGAAGAGCTGGGACACAAGCCTTGTATAACTTCATTAAGTTGTCTCTACACTGGGGAAGGTAATGTTGACCCTGGAAATCTGCCCAAGGTCCCCCAAAAGAGAGGGGCTCCTAGGAGACAAAATTTGAGACTGTATTCTCCTATCACAACTGGCAGTTCTAGGTTTAGATGGATAAGAGGAGGCTGTTCCCATGCTCTGCACCATCCTTGGTACACCGAGTGCCTCACAAAGCCTCCCTACCCACCATCACATCCTATCCCAGGTCCCAGAAACCTCTTGGGATCCATGAGCAGCTCCCATTATCATCTGCAGACAACAATGCTTGCATCGGCCGTCTGCCAATCCCCTGGCCACCCGACTTGAACCGCTGAGTATCGGGACACAGTAGCGCACGCACTGCTCTCTCTCCCCTTTCTCACCACCACAGACCAGTTTCTTTTCCCTCTCTTCCATCAGTAGAGGGAGCTCTGGCCAGCTCACCAGGCATCTCAGAATCAGATGTCACTTTCTGAACTCAAGCTCATTTGACCTCAGCTACCAGGAACTATCAGCTCTCTCTCTCTCTCTCCCCTGGCCCTGTGACACATCCTCTGGGGCCTCTGGTCTAGCGGGTGACCCCCCGGCCTCTGCTGTGGGTTGACTCTCACAACTGCCCAGGGCTCCACCCTCCTCCTGCCCTGGCCTCTCTTCTCAGCTGATCTGCAGCTTCACCTGATCCCCGGGCCTCTGGCTGCTTTCTCTGCCTTGATCACGTCCTACTGGCCAGTGCCCTCCTGTTCGCCTCGCCACTTTGGGACCTGGATGCAATGAACGCCATGCTGCAGGGCGTGGGATCTGGCTTTTCTGGTGGTCGACTGACACAACCCCAGCAAGTGATGGGGAGCAAACACCCAACGGGGCAAACCTGGGGCAACGAAGGACAGGAGACAGAGCAGAGAGGAGGCTGAGTCAGCTCTCCACCTCCCCATCAGCCCAAACACAGTGTTTCTGCATCGTCTATCCAGAGACCACACACGGACAAGAGGCCAGTTGTGTATTGGTGAAGCAGTGGCCAACTCATTAAAACACGCCTTGTGCTTCCTTCGTCTTCCCTGCCTAGCTTTCCTCACCCTCACTGCTTGGGTACTGGATCTACCAATAAAGCACCAGCGCTTCAGCTCTGCCTCAGGTTCAGTGTTCTAAGTAACCTGAATTAAACAATACACCTCATCCCAACCATGCCTTCAGCCACCACTGACACACTCCCACCTCATTCCCCAAACTGCATCTGCAATCCAGACTTCTCTGCTGAGCAGGATCCAGCCACAATGGACATCTTTACTAGGACACTCTCACAGGCACCTCAAACTCATTCCTAAAATGAAACCGCCGTGCTCCTTCTCGGACATGTGCCCGTCTCCTGTGTTTTGGGGGAGGCAGAGATGAAAGACACTTTAAAAGAACTCTCAGCCACCCTTTTCAATCAGATCTAGAAGAATTAAGCCCGAACACCCTAAGGTATCCCTTGTATATAAAGAATTATTCTTGATGCATCTAGAATGGTAACAGCTACGTGTAATCCTTGAGAGTATTGAGGAAAGTCACGCAAATCATTTTCTCTTGAACCCCAGTTGAAAGAAGCTAAGGTACAGAGCAGGTATCAAACACGGTATTCCACGGACCTTCCCAGAGGGTGCATCAACTGGGGACGTGCCCGCCTGGAGCCCCTGTCCTGTGTGATCCTTTCCCACAAGGCAGCGGACACCACAGCAGCCGGAGCTGCTCCTAAGCGCCAAGGGTGTCTCCACCCATCTGGATCTGAGACCTCCGGCAGCCTGGGCAGGACGTCCCCAAGGAGGGAATAAAGAGAGTGGGAGGGAATTCCCTGGCAGTCCAGCGGCTAGGGGGCTGTGCTTCCACTACAGGGAGGGCTGGTGTGCAACGTAGCCAAAAAAAAAAAAAAGAGTGAGTATTAAGAAACTGAACTAAACTGGGGCTAAGCTCTAAAACGCTGAGGCACTGCTCATTGGCACTACGGGCCCCAAATCTGAGCCAAAGCCCATGCGTGCTAAGTCGCTTCAGTCCGACTCTATAAAGCCCTATGGACTATATAGCCCGCCAGGTTCCTCTGTCCATGGGGATTCTCCAGGCAAGAATACTGGAGTGGGTAGCCATTTCCTCCTCCAGGGGATCTTCCCAACCCAAGGATTGAACCCACGTCTCTTACATCTCGGTTCTTTACCACTAGCACCACCTGAGCCGAAGCCCAGAAATGTGCACTTTTTCAAAGGAACTCCCCAGGTGATCTTACTCTGTAGTGGGACTTGGGAGCCGCTTTAGTAACGTCCATCCTTTCTTACCAGTCTACGACTTTGGTCTTCCGTTGCTTAGTAAATGTTCCCTCTGAGAGACGTCAGATCTTACAGGGAGACTGCCAGCACCTCAGAAAGTTGGCTGGAGTGGCAATCATACCATTAGGCAAGATCCAAACACTACTGGCCTGAAGAGCAGTGAAAGATCCAGAAAACAGAGGCCAGGCCGCAGAGGCGACATACTCCCGAGCCTCCTAACTCCGTAAGAGGAACTCAGGAGCCAAGCCCCTGGTTGAGCCCTTTCCCCCTGCTCAGAGAAACTTAACTGCACACAAATTTGACGGACAGAGCATTCCACTGGTCACAAAAGAGGGAGATCTTCAAATGTGGCACAGCCAGAGCCTTCTCAGCATCCCTTCTGCTCTACCCCTGCTCTGAGTCAAGTGGCCCAATTCCCACTCCCAACATCACACAGACAATACTGAAGCAGAAGCGGCTTTAATCAAGGAGTGAAGTCCTCAGTCGGAGAGACCTCATTCAACCTGTGGTTGCGGGGTCTCAACCTACCTACCCCCTAGAGCCCCCGAAGCTCCTGAGGAAGAAGGGAGCCACTGAACAGCAAACTCTGGCAGAGGCCGGGGCGGGAGCCAGGGGAACCCGGGTCAAGGGGCAGGGGCAGGGCTCCGAGGGGGGGCGTGACGCCGAGTGGGGCAGGAAGAGCTGACACACGCGGTTCTCCCCGGGGGCCGCCTGGTGGCCACGCAGCAGGAGGAGCGGCTCCTGGAGGGATGCGGGCGGCAGCGGGCAGTGAGGGAAGAAGCATTTAGGAGATGAGGCGATCGTGAAGCTGGTGCAGCTGCTCCTGGGTGAGCACCAGCCGGTGTCGCTGCCCAAGGCCAGCCGCGCACGAGAAGGTCACTTTGCCCATGTACACAGTGTCATCCTGCTGCTCTTCCTTGGCCTGGGAATTGGGAAGGGAGAGAGGCCGCCAGGTCAGGGGCTCACTTCAGCTGTGTGCCGCTGACAAGGTCCCTGGGCACTGAGACCCTGGGAGGTGGAGGCTTTGAGGCTCCTAGGCTATAATGACCACAATTTCCAAACCAGAACTGAGGCACATAGCCTGACAAGGGAGTTTTGAGTCTCTCCTGGTGTCAGAAGTCACAGATGATGTTTAACCGCTAAAATACTGGAATTTCGGAAAGCACTGCAAGCACTGTTAAGTTACTTGCAAGTTAAAACTTGGCCAGATGACTCAAGAAGTTCAGTCGTTGGACCTGAGGCCCTTAGAAGCCTCTTCAAATTCTGGAGGAGAGGGGAAGGACTCGTCTGAGCCTTCCACACTGCCCACCCCCTCCCCACGCTCCCTCTTACCCTGAGGAAGGCTGATGAAGGGAAGGTGGCAAAGTCAGTGGGGACTGTGGCTCCAGGGCGCTGAGACACAGCCTCCTTAAGAACCTCATCCTGGCAGATGGGAGGAACAGGCGTCATTTAGGGGGCCCTCCACAGGTGAGCCCAGTATCTCCCCGGCTTCACAGGAATACTAACACCAAGGACAGGGGTCCAGTCCTCTTTTATCACCATACCTCTGCTCTCAACTCCAACCCCACCCCTACCCAACAGCCTTGCTTTGTAGATATTTGTCCTTCAGGGTTCAGCTCAGATTCTGTAACTTCTGGGAAGCCATTCTCAACCATTCTACTCTGCAGTGATCTCAGCTCTGACAGAAGCTGCTCTACACTAAAGATGACCCTAGCTCAACCCATTTTGTTGGTAAGACTCTCCTTCCTATTGAGAGGATCTGTGTGGGAGTGAACTCCCAAGGCAGGAACCCCGTCTTCCCTCCCTCCTCCTTTGCTATGTGTCACCTAGCGCAGGGCTGGGTCCCAGGAACCCTGGGGGTCCTGGGGGAAATGACCATGCTAGGGCCTCCAGCAGAGTGCTCTGAAGTGAGCACTCCTGGGTGAGAAAAGGCAGGTCTAAACCAACCTTGAGCTTCTCAATGGTGTCGCTTAGGGACTTGAGCTGAGCCACCTGCTCCAGGAGCTGGGCCGACGGGCTCTTGGCAGCTGTGGGGAGAGAAGGCTAGTGAGGCCCGCCAAGGTGCAGGCAGGCAGCTGGACTAGTGATGCTTCATCCAGTCCAGCTGCCTGCCTCAAGCAAACTGAACACCGAGATCAAAGAACAGGGCTAGGAAGAGCCTCTCTGGTGTGGGAAGTGCCTAGGCAGGGACTATATGAGGCAAGGGGAGGGGCTGCGGCTTCCATCTCAGGAGCTGGCGCGTCCATACCAGGGTTGGAGCGAGTGATGTCCACCACGTGGGTGCGCGCGCTCAACTGATTCAGCGTCTCCAGCAGCTGGCTGGTCTTGCGATACAGCGTTCCAGCAGCAAGCTCGCCGCCAGGGCCCTCACGGGGCGGGAGAGAGAGTCTGGCCACATGCAGAGGGGGCAGGGCTGCTAAGGATGCCTTCATCCTGGCTCCCTGTGAGCGAAGCGGGAAGAAGAGGTGACAGACAGCCCTACCATCTATCATCAGTGAAGCAGTTACATCTGCCCTCTCTGCGACCTCCTCACCCTGAGGATGCTCTTCTCATGCTGGAGCCGGGAGATATGCAGCCTCATGGCCGAGATCTGCTGAAGCAGCAGGGGTGAGTCCTTCACCAGCCCTGGGCCAGGCACAGACCCCGGAGCCTGCCCAGGGGCACCTCCTATGGGGACCACAATAAACGTCATGAGCCCCAGGTGGCAAGGGTTGAAGATGGGTTCCATTCCTACCCATCCCCTTTCCTTATCCCCTGCTACCTCCAGTCTTGATTGTTCCCAAGGGGACAGTCTCACCCTGCTCCCCCAGCCCCAATTCCCACCAACCCCGTTAACACCCCCAGCAGGTTGGCGCTCTACCTCGCTGTTGTTCTTCTGTGCTCAGGACAGCCCATGGGGGAGCAGGAAAAGAGGAGAGAGGAATTAGATGGTATGGTGGTGAGGGGGACACACCAGAAGACTCCTGGTCATGCAGGAAAACATTTTTCCTGATCACCACACCTTCTCTAACAAGATCCTGCCTTTACTTTTGGGGAAAGAGCAAGTATGTGTGAAAGAAAGATAGAAAAGGGAAGTCAGGCCACGATACAAGCTGCAACATGTGAGGAAGAGTGGCAGCAGCAGTGTGTGCTGGAGGAAACACCTGAGGCCCGAGGCTGTTCCTGCCTCCCTGCCCCACACTCTACCTCCCAGAAAGGCAGCTGGACCGCTCCTGAGACCCTGATATGTCCGCACCCTTGGAGCTCCCCACCAGCAAAACTTAACTGAGCATGAAGACACATACCCATTTCTTCAGGTTCCCCATTGCTCCGAGACAAAAGTCACCCTTTTTTGGTGCAAAGTTTCAGAAATTAAAAACCAATATTTGGGGCTTCCCTGGTGGCTCAGTGCCAATGCAGGAGACATGAGTTCGATCCCTGGTCTGGGAAGATCCCACGTGTTGCAGAGCAGCTAAGCCTGTGTGCCACAACAACTGGTCTGCGCTCTGGAGCCCGGGAAATGCAGCTACGGAGCCCACGTGCTGCAAACAGTGAAGCCCGCGCACCCTCCAGCCCACGCTGCACAAGAGAAGCCACTGCAGTGGGAAGCTGTGCACTGCAACGACAAGTAGCTCCCGCTCACTAGAGAGAGTCTGTGCAGCAAGAAGACCCAGCACAGCTGAGAATTAAAAAGTAAAATTATTAAAAAAAAGAAAAACAAAAGAACCAGTATCTGTTTAAAGAGCCTATGCTAGGATTCCCCTGGTGGTCCAGTGGTTAAGAATCTGCCTTCCAGTGCAGGAGACGCATGCTTAATTCCGTGTCAAAGAACAAAGATTCCACATGCTGCAGGGCTACTGAACCTACACACCACAACTAGAGAAGCCTGTCCAGCGCTACAAAGACCCAGTGCAACTGAAGGGAAAAAAAAGCCTATGCTAAAACCACGCAATGTGGTAACTCTGTCCCCTCCCAAGGAACATGGAACCATCTGAGTCACAGGAGGCTAAAGACAAGAAAGTACTTGGTCACTTTTCAGGGTCAAGCAGCACCAGTGACGCGGCTTTGACGAGGACAAGACCCTAGGTGAGGCCGCCTGACAAGACAAGCGCAGCAGGGGCTCCCCGAGATCCTGCGGGTCTAATTCCATCTCAAGGAGCTTGTCTTCTGGAGGTGAGAAGCGGAAGTAAGAAACCAGAGACAGAAAAAAAGTGCTACATAGTAGATGGGAACCAAGATAGCACTGGCCACCTCCTTGGTCAGGAAACTGGGGAGACTAGGCCTGGAAGCCAGAAAAACTCCGGTAAGGAGCCCTGACCACACTGAGAGACCAGGCAAAGGTCAGAACATAAGCCCCAAGTGTAACTGGGAGGATTCAGCACTGGAAGAGAGAACCATACTATAGGGTGACTCGACGTGAACCCTGCAGAGAATGCAGTGCCCCCGCAGAGGAGGAATCAAGGGCAGAGCAGCCACAACTGGATACCACAGCAGACACTCCGGTCTGCTGCAGGCTGACGGCCTTCTGGAATACAGGGCTGGGACAGAAAGGCCAGACGGCAGACCCAAGAGTGACGGCTACTGGAATTCTGAGTTTCACTGGCACCTTGGTGAGGCCCCACGGCCCCACCTTGGTACAAGGAACTCTGCACGTATCTTCAGAAGTAAAAACCTGGTGAAAGCTGCCACAGAGTGAAACTGGACAAGCGTGTTCCTGGCTGAACATCCAGCTATGGGCAGCGGGGACCGGGGGAGAAAAGTCAAACGGAGGCCAAGGACAGGAGTGGGGACATTCAATCTCCTCTGGGCTGGTGCTGCCTGCTCCACGGCACTCACCCCCAGCAATGCCAGAGACCAGCGTGGCAATACCCGAGGGAGGGGGCCCCCGGAGCCCCTCAATCGTGCGCTTGGACTGGCTGTTCAATCGCTGCTTTAACTCAGCTTTCTCTGCCTCCAGCTGGTCGATGTCGGCCTGAAGTGCATCCATGGTCTCCTCAAACTCTCTGTGAAAGAGAACCTGGGTGTGGGCAGTATCCCTTCTCCCAGGGCCCTGCCCCGGTTTCTCAGCCCTGACAGGTCCTGAGGGCAGCCCTGCCGGCCAGGAGCCAGGGGCAGAAAAGGCTCAGATCAGGATGAGACAATGGTGCAGTCAGCTGGGAAGAAGATGGCCTCTGTCCCCCTGGGGAGGCTCACTCCAAGAGGGCCTGGGTTAGGAGGCAGGGAGCTGCTCGCAGGAGGGAGGGTGGAGTGAACAGGGACCGGGGAGGTGCCTGACTTCTCCTTCTTCCGCAGCAGCGTCTGGGTCTCCTCCAGCCGAGTCTGGACTTTCTCAATGCGCTCATCTGCATCCTTGGCAGCACTGTCCAGCTTCTTCTCCAGGAGGCTCAGCCGCACGTTGGCCTCACTGAGCTCTTCCCCCTGGACGAGGATGGAGCATGTCCAGCTGCCTTACACTTCCCATGACCACCCCCAACCCGAGCCCTGGGACAGACCATGAGACAGCAAGCTCCCACAAGAACTCCCACTGATCGCACTTCCACTTCCTCCCCTCAGTCCTCAACCCCTCTCAGTTACAGTAAACACTCACTGCCTCCCTGTGCCCCCCGCTACTTCCTGGCCTCTCAGATCCTGAGCCTCCCCTATCCTCACCTTGATTTTCAGTGACTTCTTCAGCTCTTTAATAACTGTCTCTCGATCCTCAAGCTTCAAGCCCAGGCCTTCAGCATCCGTGATCTCTGCACGAAGAGCCGCAGCCCGCAGCTCAACTGGGGGAGGCTAAAGGGCAGAGTACAAGGTTACCAACGCTCTCCTTTCAGAGGGGTCCAGCCAAACAGAAAATCTTCCCCCTTGCCTTTTAAGCAAGAGGAAGGTGCTCCCCAAACTCCTGCCTCCCAGCCCCCCCACAAGGAGCAGCAGCTCTCCCCAAGTCCTGCTCCTCCTGGCTCCTGCAGTTCCCCCCAGAGTCACCCACCTTGCTAGGGGGCCGCTCGGCATCGTACTCCCCCTCCTGCATGGCTGTGGCCAACTTGTTCATAGTGCTGATGAGGAGGCTGCACGACTGGCGCAGACACTCATAGGGGTTGCTGGAGGGGGTCCCGTAGATCTGCAGGTGTCAACGGCAGTAGTGAAAACCCCACACTAGCCACCTGACTCTCCCATCACCACCTTCCGCCCAGCCAACCCGGCCCACCTGCTCGCTTGCTTTGAAAGCGAGCTCCTCCAAGGCAGCCACAGGCAGTCCCTCGTTCTCTGCCAGTGGGGCAATGAGCTGGGCAGCAGCTGCTGCCACCTCCTGGAGCACCGCCACCACCCACGTCAAGTGTTTTCTGCAGTCGAGGAGTGTGTCGGATACCTGTGCAACGGGCCGGAGTCAGGAGCCCACTCTGGGCTCAACACCACAGCGCCCAGCTACCTCAAAACCATCCCTGTCCCCTGACCGGATCCAGATCTCAACACGCTGCGCCCCTCCTGGTTCTGCTCACAGTTTCCTTCCCGTCCCCCTTCACAGCCCTAAACCTGTGGTCCAAAGGCCAGTGCAGCCGGGATCCCAGGTGCATCCGTCCCTGGCATCCGCCGCCGGATCTTCTTGCAGAACTGGCGGGTATCACTGCACGAAGTTTCCAGGTCCCGGAGCAAGAGGGCAATATCTGAAGCCTCCTGCCCACCCTAGTCAGAACAGGAGACAGACAGGAAGCCAAGTCGGAATTAGGGCTGGGGGCAAGGAGGTGAGGACTACGAAGGAAGAGGAACTCCAACAGATCTGGCTGTGCTCTCACCTGCAAGAAGGCCCGTAGCCGTCCCACCTCCACACTCATGCAGTCCAGGGCACTCTGGGTAAACTGTGAAGACAGAAGCAGGTGGCTGTCAGCCTCCAACAGGGGCCCTTCTGCCCCATTAACATATCTAAAGAAGTCTCCACCCTTGGCCGACCCCATCCTTAAGTGAGCTCTCTGGCTTCCCTGATCTGGCCTTAGTGACCCTGCTCCACCCTTTGAGGGTGTGATCTGATGTCTTTCATTTCTGACCTCTACAAGGGGCTCAACCATTGGCCCAAACACCTCACCTTAATGTGGTCAGCCAGCTGCATGGTACTGTCCTCAGGTTGTTCAGCAAGGTGGATGCTGTATAGATGCTGAGGAGGGATGGCAAATGAACAGTCTTTAGGCCTTGGAAGAACGGAGCATTCTTCCCAAACTGCAGTTTGAGCCCCAGTCATCATGGGACTCCAGAGGTATGAAAGAATCCAAAACCCTCAAGGAGCTGCATACTAAGGTGAGTTCATCTAAGAGTTTCAAGCCTTCAGCCTGGGACATACAACCTTGGCCACACTGGCCAACAGCCCCAGAAGAAACCCTCCCTCCTCCTGGGCTAAGCCTCAATTCTTGTCCCAGACCTGGTAGTACTTGATGGCCTTGGTGAGAGGCTCTACGTTGACAGTCTCATCCAGCTGATCCTTGTGCAGCAGCTCAATGAGGAAGTCCAAGGAGCGTTCGTGGGCACTCATCTCAGGGTAGAGGCTGCCCACCTTCTTATACACGTCCACATTGCACTGAGAGAGGGCGCTGGAGACGAGAGGAGGGCTCGTGAGGCCAGAGTCTACAAGGCAATCTCAGCTCCAGCCGATCTGGGACCCACCGCCCTGCAGTGCGGGTCAGGGATCACTTACTGCTCGTAACGATGGAGTGTGGCCTGCAGCAGACTCAGTGAATACACCAGCCCAGCAGCAAAGCTGAGCTGCTCCCCAGCAGCTCCTCGAAGTCCTGGTCGCTCTGAACAGCTCTCACTTAGTTCAAACTTTTCCTGGGCCTGCTTCCGGATTAGCTCTGCCTGTGGGAAGAAGCACCAGAGACATGGGGCTGAGAGCAGAGGATGGAGAACACAGACTCAGGAGTACAGAGAGCTGAGCAACTATGTGGGGGGCACGAACACATGGCAGAGAAAGCAGAAACAGCTCTTAGATGGACAGGGAGCCACATGTGAGGAAAGGGTGATGTGATTGCTGGTGCTGATGAAGATTTGGATATGGGGCTGAAAGGGCAGCAGGACCAGTGGGACCAAGCTCTTTCCCACCTTAAAGCTGCTGCACCTGCTACCTTTCCAATTAGAATGTGATCCTGACAGTTATCCCCCCACTAACTCCTAGTCATCTTCTGGGTCTCACCTCAAATGTTATTCCTTCAGTAATATCCCACTATCTCCATCAGCTCTCCAGCTGTGCTCTCTCCCAGACACTACCCCCACTTCACAACCTGCATCTCCCCTTGATAAAACATCATCTGTAACACATCTGTCTGTGATTCTGTGTTCCTATTCACCATAAACCCTGAGAGCATGACTGCTCTTTTCGCTTGGCATCCCCAATGCCTGGCTCAAGGCAAGCTCAGCAGACCCCTGCTGGGAACGGGGCTGACAGACCATACCTTGCAAATGAGACGAGGCATGAGCAGCAGCACCAGAACGCAGTCATGGTCCCCACCTGGCCGAAGGAAACTGTCGGGCATGAAGGCTGTCAACAGGGACATGTGCCGGTTGGCCTGGGCCACCTCCATCTGCCTCAATTCCATTTCAATTGCCTGTGAGGTAGACAGGGAGGCGGGTTCTCAGCTAGGCCGCAGAGAACCTCCTAACCTCCAAGCCACATTCCAATGTGTCTCCTGCTTCTGGGACAGGCCCAGGCCAGGAGTCTCCCAAACCACCACACAAAGCACTCCCAACTCCAGGAACCTGAAGGCCAGAACCCCACAGCAGATCAGCCCATGGCCACACCCAGGCTGGGGTCTCCAACACCCACCCCTCTCCAGCTCACCCACTTTCCTGACCTTAGCATGAGCCTTAGTCTCGGCAAACTTGATCTTGAAGTCAAAAGTCTCGGGAGGTGGCTGCTGCTGCCTTTCCACAGACGCTTCCTGCTGGTTTGTCAGAGCCCGATTTACATCCTGGGAGCAAGGATGGAAGACAAGACACAGCTGAGTCTTGGGGGAAGCCCTGGGGTGACCGTGGGCGGAGAGCAGTGGGTGTGCAGTCACCTGCAGGTGGGCGGTCAGCTGGCGGTACTTCTTGATGGTTTGCTGATAATCTGCAACGGTCTCCTGGGCTGCTTCCACACGCTTCTGGGCATCCCGGACCTGTGCACCCGCCATATCTAGCTGCTCCCGCAGCTCCAGTTCTGTCTCACGTGCGTTCTCCTGCAGTTCATCGTTCATTTCATTTATTGCTTCCTGGGAGACCACAAAGTGGTTGGGGCAAAGAAAAGTCAGAGCCAGGGTACCGGGCCAGGGTGCGCTCACTCACTGCACACCCTACTAAAAGATCAGGGAACACGCCAATCCTTCTCACGGCAGGTCTCTTCCAAACACCCTCCATCAAGGGTGTAAGTCGGGAGTCTGCTCTTCTCTTACCAAGTCCCCCACGGTTTCCTTCAATTTGCGCACTTTCTCTTCCAGATCCAGGTTCCGGTCTGTCAGCGTCTCCACCATCTCCTCCGCCCCCAGAGCAGCATCGACCTGTGTCGGACAGAGCGAACAAGGAGAAGGACTGAAAGGCGCCTAGACGGAAGAGACACGGGAAGGTGCGCACCGCGGTGCTCTGCGCCAGGGGCGGGGCTGCCCGCACCTGCTCCTTGAGCTCATCAATGGTGCGCTCTGCCTGGCTCAGCTCCTCCTGCAGACGCTCCCGCTGTTGCCTCACAACTTCCAGCTCTTGGTTCTTCTTTTCCATGAGCTTCTGGAGTTTCACGTGCTCCTGCTTCTCTGAGGAAGAAAGATCCCGCATTCTGTGGGAAAATGGCAAGAGAAAAGGAGAAAGACCGTGTGTCAAGAGTCAGGCGCAGATCTGGAGACAGGAGAAGTGAAACTGGCAGCGAGAGGCCCCTACCTCACCAGGGCATCCTTTAAGCGGGCATTCTGCTCCTCAAGCTGCTTGAGCTGATAACTGGATGCGGCGCCATCTGAACCTGGGGAAGACCATGAACCCTTTCAGACGGGGTCCCACCCCCATCGTTTGGCCCCCAGCAGCTGCTGGCCCCTTACCCTTCTCTTCAATCTCGGCTTTGAGGATTTCCAAGTCCGTAGTGAGCTCTTCCACACGCTCCCTCAGCACCTCGGCCTCCTGCTGTAGGGACTCGGCCCGCTCTTCGGCCATCTCCTTGTCCAGAGTGGCCATCTCGATGGCATCAGCGGTGTCAGCCATCTCCTCCATGTAGCGCTCCTTTGCCTCTAGGGCCTCCTTGGCTTCCTGAAGAAAAGTGGGGATTTCGCACACACTCACAGAGATGCCTCACATACCCCTTTTCACAGGACAGTCCAGGCCCCAGTTCCAGCTTCCTGCACATCCTCGGGCCCCGTGCCTCCCCAGACCCTCTCCACCCCAAGTCGCACCTTGCGAGCCTCCTTGAGGCGCCGCTGCAGGTCTGCCTGCTGCTCCTGCATTTTGCTTTTCCATTCCTGCACCTGCTCCAGCTGGATCTTGTGCTTCTCCAGCTCTTTCAGTTTTGCCTTGTCTTCTGCACGTTTCAGCCGCAGGGTCTCCAGCTTCTCCTCCAGGTCCCGCACCTGGGCCCTCAGCCCCTCCTCTTCCTGCAAAGGAGAGACCCTTCAGTCCTGGCACTGCCTCCCCGCTTGTCCCCACCGAGACTGAGCTGGAGAGGAAGGACAGGGATGTGTGCAGATGTCATTCCAGGTCCAGGGCCAAAGCAAGTGGCATACAAATATCTGTGAAGAGCCCAGTCCACATGGGGGAAGTGTGGAAGAAGGGCAGAGGGGAAAGGGTGGCTTAGTCATAATGGGATGCTTATATGCTGAGACCCCATCCTCCTAATCCAAGGTTCTGGGTCTCCCCCAACCCAGGGAAACTTCTAAGACCCTGTCAGGGGTCACAGGCCCTTTGTATCTTGATTCTTCTTTGCTCCAACCCCAGACCTTACCTTAGAGGGGGAAGGAAGTGGGAGTGCTGCTCCAGGAGAGGTGAGGGCCGGCGTGGGGATGATGGGCGCTGCGAGCGGAGTCTGAGCTGGGGTGCTGGGCTCACTGCTGCTCAGCTCACCTGCTGACGCTGAGCCGGAGGGGCCCAGGGAGCCACTGGCCCCGGCCACCCCAGTGCTGGCTGGGCGGGTGGGCTATTCCGAGAGGGCAGGGGCAGACCAGAAAAAGTGGAGGGGACAGGGGTGGTAAAAGAGAGTGAGACAGAATACGAGAATATGGTGAAGGAAGTGACAGAGAAGGAAAAAGGCAGAGAGCATCACAGGACAATGAGAACAGAGAAACAGTGAAGGGCAGGGGGAAAGTGACACAGTCAGAGGCAGTGACAAAGGGCCGGGAGGGATTGTGGGGGGGATGGCGGGAGAGGGAGGGACGGAAAAAGACATAAGATTACAAGGAACTCCTCCCTTAGCACTGACCCCACATTCCTCCAAGCTCTAGCACTACCCTGCTAGGGCAGAAGCCCTCACTCCCCTGATCATTCCTTTTGTGACCCACTTGTAATCATTGTAGCAATTTCTTAATATTCCCAATGCTACTGTTGCTCTGAGCCTGTACCCACCTCCCCCCAGAGGGAAAAAGCGCCTCAGTGTCATTCCCAGAGAGAAAGAACAGACTGATCTCTAATTTTCATGTTCCCAGAGAAGGCTGAGCTAAAACTGGGGGTCCTGGGTTCTACACTTCGATAAACCGTCAAGCTCATCCTCCTTCCCCTGGTCTGTTTCAGGGGATCCTGCAAGTAAAAGGGCCAGGGTGAAAGTCGCAATCCTTGGCTCTCCTCTGAAACAAGGTCAGTACTGCCAACCCATCTGTCACCTCCTTCCTCCAAGACAGAGGGGCTCTAATCAGGCGACAGTACCCGGGTCCCTGCGGAGCTGAGGTGCTAGAGCAGACAGGCCTGCCCCGTGCTCCTCCCTGAAGGGCTGAGCCCTGAAGCCCTCCCAGTGACCACACCACGCTATCCACGGACGCCCCCACCCAAGGCCTTTCACAGTCACACCCACCTCCACAGCCCCTGACATTTACATTCCAAGTTCTTTCTCACGTTTCTTCTAATTCTCCGCCCCTTCCCCAACAACACACACACACACCCCCTCCCAAAGCCGGTCAAAAGCAGCTGGAAAAAGATGCCCTTCTTCAAGAAAGTCTGCCTTGATTAACCACAACCACTCTCGTTTCTCTTCTACACTCAAGCTACCGGCTCAGACATGCTCCTAAGAGCTGGAAGTCGCTTTCCCAGGAGGGGCCTGTCATCACCCTCAGTACCCCCACTCCTCTTAAGAGAAACCAGGACACACTGTGACCAACTTACACTTGCTCACACAAATGCCCACATGCATGCACATGCCTAAGGTATCTGTGTCCACTCAGCAGTGGCTTGTACAGAAGCCTGTTTCTTCCTCACCTTGGGCCGCCGAGTTGTAGTCTGGACAGGCAACAGCAGCCAGAGGAGGAGTAGTCAGGAAAGAAAGGGTGACGGCAGAGAGACAGACAGCAGAGGGGACAGCAATGAGAGCATGAGCGACAGACATGAGGCTGCAGCCAGCAGCCCCGGCCCTCCTCCCAGCCCGGCCCCAGTCCTCCTCCCAGCCCGGTCCCGGCCCTCCTCCCAGTGAAGCGCCTCGATCCCACTCCAGGAGCTCAGGACTCCTCGTTCCCCCTGGCTCCTTCTCCCACTCTTGTCCTACCCTTGCAGGCCTCACCCCTCGGGCACCCTGGAAGCTCTGTCCCCGTCTCCCAGGTGGAGCGCCAGGAGACCGAAGCCAGCAGCAGGTAGAGAAGGTCTCCAGAGACCAGAGAGGAGTCCTCCCACAACCACCTCTCCCACTCCAGCCCAGAGCCCCGCCCACCCACACTCCCAAGGACTTTCCCAGGTCAGCCCCTTCCTTTGAGTGCTAGATTCCGCACAGGACTCCTGAGAAATACCACGTGACAAGAAGGATGATACAAGCCTGGACGTGAGTGATACGAAACCAGCAGGGGGAGACCAGGCCCCCAAGGGAGCACAGTGCGGCCATGTGCCCCACCCCCACCCCCTCCCCAGGATCAATCCCTGCAGCACTCCCCATCCCTAGGGCAGAGGGCTCAGGTGTCAGGGCCATGAATATTGCATTAGCCAGAAGCCCAGAGCTCAGCAAAGTGACCCCACCCGGCTGCAAGAAAGGAGGTGGGGGTGGGCAGCAGCATAGGGAAACTACTGCCCTACAGCAGATCTGAAACCAGCCACCCCAGATTATTGCAAAGTGATAAACAGATGATTAACTCCAACTCCAGAACAGTATTCTTGATACCCAGGGTCTCAGAGCTCTGGCAAACACAAGATTTGGCCTGGGCCCTTCTTCTAGGTCTCCCAAGGAGACCAACTCCCACCTCTACTACCGTGGGCTAAGCCTCCATTACTGTGTGTCACAAACTGTTCTAGAGAAAGCCCCTGATACAGACCCCAGTCGAGGAGGGATGCTAGTATTACAACCAAGTGTCATTCTAGCAAAGGTCGAGTGAGGTAGGCTTGCTAGAGGCACAAAGACATCTGGACCTGCTTCCCCAGATTCTGTCCTAGGAAACACAGCCAGAGCCAGTTTGCAGCAAAAGCTGCCTGAAGCTCAAGCTGGTGAGGCCACTGGGTACAAGGCCCAAAACACAGATTCAGAGCCCAAAGCAGGAACGCTAGGGAGCAAACGCCCAGGGTGTGGAGCCTGGCAGCGACACACACTCTCCCTGCCCCCCACCTGCATCCCCATCCTGTCCCCCAACCAGACAGAGCAAGTCAATCAGCCGCCACCCCCACCCCGGCCGCCGTCGCGCTGGCAGCCTGGCAGCAGGACCAGAGCGAGCGAGAGTACCTTTCGGGCTGTCGGTGCCTGTCTCATCATTGCAGAAAGCCAAAGAAAGCCAGGAGAGGAAAGAGAAGGCAGGACAGACCAAGGGGTGGGGGAGAGGCCGAACAGAGGGAAAGGCGGCGGAGACAGCAGATTAGTGTATCAAATCCCAACAGTGCAGCCTCAGCTCCCCGGCCCGGCAGCTCCCCGGCTGGCCAAGGGCTGCAGCTCAGATGCAGAAGCCCCCACCGGTGCACGGTGGGGACGGCCGGGCTCCGGCAGGCACCGGAGAGCGCTCGGGAGGCACCCGGCCTAGTTCGCCAGCCTAGGCTGACGGCAGCCTCCGTGGCCGCCGCACCAGCTCCACCTGACGTCATGCGCCCACCCTCCTCTGCTCCACGAGGGGCGGAGCCACTGCTCCTCGGTCACCTAGCAACCACCAGGCTCTGATGGCTCCTCCCCCTCCTCCCCAGGACAAGGTATCACCGCACAGGGACCTCACTGCTTCATCAGGCCTCTCCCATCCTCACACTCCCCTCGGCCTACAACCCCGTCAACGCTACTTCTGTCTCAGACACACAGCTGAGGCCCTGATGGCGGCTCGTCAGGCGCACACACCCCCAGCACTCCTGCATCGGCGGCTCTGCGGGGCACACCAAGAAACCCGGAGAACATTCCATCTGGGCAGCAGCAGCTGTAACGACAGCAGCTGGCTCCTGTCCCGCCTCTCCCTGGGTTGTGGGCAGGTCAGAGTCTGTCTCTAAAGAGCTTCCAGAAAGGACTGGACACCTTGCAGAGACATCTGGGTTCTCTCTTCCACCCTGCCCCTCAAAGTTCCTTCTTTTGTTGTGGTGCTAGCTCCCTGTTTCCTGAGTTAAGTGATGTGCCGCGAGAGAAGCCCTGGAGAGAAAGACCTAGGGAAGGACTTGACCACTTGACCGACACTGCACCAGGAGCCAAGGAGGTGCCATACCCCAGCGCAGGCAGCCTAGGCTAGGCTTTGCCACATTTCCCTAGTCAGCCGCCAAAAACACCAAGATTTGGGCACGGCTCACATCCCACCCATGGTCAGGTCAGACTGCAGCCAGAACCCCTCCATAGACAGTAGACTGCAGGTCCATGCTCTTCTCTATTTGGGGTCTGATGTAAGATGGGAGCCCCAACCAGGAGCCAATAATCAAGGGAAGAAGCCAAGCTTCTGGAATGGGTCCAGCATCCTTTAGAGAATTATTTTCCTTCTTATATCCCCATTCCCTCCCAAGCCAGGACCCCAAAGCAAATACCATCATGTTGTCTCTTCCAAGGCAAGACTCCAACATGAGGACCCACCACCAACCAGAAATCAAAATAGAGAAGTTCTACTCTTCCCTCCCACTGCCCCATCTAACAGCTCTCCATGCAGAGTCAGAAGGTCCTGACACAGATGCGCGACAGGAAATCACAGAACTTCACACACAGCACAGCACATACAGGTCAGACAGGCACGTGCAGGTCAGAGACGGCTTGGGCACAGCCCGGAGGCATGAACTGGTGTGAGGAAGCAGTCATGGCAGCAACTTCAGACTAAAGGAGTCTCAGGGGTGGCAGCCACACCCCAACGATGGTTGATGGAAGGCTGTAAGGTGTGGGAGGTAGGCCTCGGGCACAACACCAGAGGAATGAGGAGGCAGGGAAAGAAGGATGGAACAGAGCAAAGGTGCGTATTCATGGCCACACCACCCAGAGGCAGGTACCACTCAGGCCTGCTCTTCTGTGCTCGGTTCCTTGACCTCCCGCCTACTTACCTAACCACTTCCCTGGGCACCTTCCTCACCTCCAAACCCCCAGTCTCTCCTCCCACTGACCCTAAGCTCAGTCTAAGTGAGGATCCTCTGTAACCCAGTAGATGCTCTCTTCCATGCTGCTGCTATTCACAGTCAAACGCTAGGCGTCTCTGACCAGAAGTCCCGAGGCGATGGGCAGGGGTGTGAGGATCATCCCTATGCGTACCACCTGGGCCTGGACACTGAGCCTGATGTCCTCGCACCCCTCAAAGGAACTGAAAGCCAAGGCTGCCATTTCCTCTGGCCATCCCAGCCCCAAGGTCACACATACATGCAAGTAGCAGCCCAAGGACATGCAGGACAGCTGGGGAGGGGGCGCATGGCCCTCACCCACCCAGGCACAAACAGTAAACACACCACCTTCTTAGGCTTCAGTCCTCGCTGCGTGAGGAGTTGAAAGGGCAGAGTTAGAGAAGAGTTAACCACCACACTGTGCTAGCCGTCAGACTTCTTGGGTGCAGGCATTAAGACCCACAGGCGAACACGGGTATTGGAGGGGCAGGTCACTGTACAGGCCAGGGTAAGTGAGGGGCGGCCTCCCTCAAGATCAGCTTCCAGGAGGTCCACTCCCTGCTGGGAGGTGCTGGAGAGCTGGGAGCCCCACCTCACACACCTGTACAGAGCCGCGGAGGGCAGCCACAGTGGGCCCTCCACGTACAAACTAAAAAGGTGCCAGAGGGCCAGCTCCTTTCCACTTGTGGGCCAGAGAGCGCCTTCCTCCTCCAGTCTTTATCTCACCCCTACCCTATACCCACCGGATGACGGCAGTCTCGAGGACCAAAAGGTGGGAAGTTGGCAACACCACCACCAGCGGCAGACCTGTCCTCCCTTTCACCCCCAGCCTCAGTTCCAACTGATCCAGAACTTCTGGGCATTGGTAGCTTTTCCCTGCTAGCACCTTTACACCTAAAGCGGCAACTCACACCCAGAAAGTCTCCTTCTCAGAGAGGATGGAGCTTGGAAAGGCTAACTCAGTTTACCACCTCAGGTGGAAGCAGCAGACGAGTAAGACCCTGTATGGCCTCCCTCCTTTCCTTTTCCTTTCCCTCTTTCCTCCATCACTCCCCACGCCCATCCCTAACTACTTACCAGTTTGCTGGTCTTTGGATTTGAGTCAGTTCCCTCTGTAGAATGCAAGCAGAAACAAAGTGTGTGTTTGTGTAGACGGATAGGAGCAGAGAACATCATGGCAGGGGAGGCAAGATGTTAACAACAGAATATGGTGGTGACAGAAAATCTCAGGATCCACTGCGGCCCCTTGTTCTGGGGAGAAGTCCTGGGGACGCCTGCGTGTGAGGAGGCAACTTAAGTGGGTGGTTGTTACCTCTTCTGAGGACCTTTGAGGCAGAAGAATCAGGTGTCTCTGGTGAAGTAGTATCCGCTCCATCTTCAAATACCTGTATCTGAGGCCACAGAATAGACTCAATATAGCTAGATCAAGGCTGGAGGTAATATGGGCCCCTCTTCAGGCCCTAAGCAAGCCTAGAGTACAGGGCAGATTCCCTAAGGATAGCTCTGGATCTTCCCTCCCTCATTGCCTCCCACTCTCCCAACCAGAGACTTAGGTGCATGCCCAGGAAAAGAGGGCACCAACACACCAGCGGCACACGCACACACAGCAGCCGGCAGTGAGTACCTGGGACTGGCGCACAAAGATGCCGTGTCCTTCATCGCAAGTGAAGTACTTCCTGCCTTGGACGGTCCCGTCATTCTTGCCTTTTGCTTCATCCAGGATCACACCTACCCATTTGCCAGTAGCAAAGAGGGTAGCTCCAACATAGGCCACGGTGCCACGGTGGCCTTTTCCAATCACCTCCACGCGGGAGCCCACTCGCAGAGGCCGGGCACTTGCCTCAGCACTCATTCTGCTGCCACTGGGAGTCTGAAAGACACAAGCAAACATACGGAGTTAAAAGCCTCAAGTTAAGGGTGTCATCCTAATATACGAGAGAGGCCCTAGTCAGGATCCTGGCCTAAAGAAGGACCAGAAGCCACTTCCCTGAACCCCATTCTCAAATTAGTGACCCCCCCACAACACCTACCAAATTTCCTTTGGGAAAATGCCAGTATTATGTTCTAGAACTTCTTCATTCAAACTCCCCTGGAATCTGCCAGAACTTTTAAGAGTTTATATTTAACTTTAATAAATCAGAATTCACTGATAGATCTGTGAATGTCACTCCACATGGCTACTTTCTTAGGAGCACTGTCCCCTAGGAGGGGAATGAAGCTCAAGCAACTAACTCAGTTTACAGCGGTTCCCCATGACCCAGTGCCTGACAGAGGTCTCAGCTGGGAAGACAGGGAGTCAGTGAGTGTTCCCGCAGAATCCTGTCCTCCCCGAGGTTCACACGGCTCTCCCAGGCCTCCCCCTCTCACTGGCACACAACTGTGCCTCCTTCACGACCTGACCTCCCCCAGCCCACCACGGCACCCCGAGATGCCTCACCAAGCCCATTCAACCATTTAACTCCCTTCTTCCAGGCCTCAGCCCTGGCCAATCAACTCTATCTATAAGCTCTGAAGATCCTTCACTCACACTATCTTGCTATGAATAAATAAATATATAAAGGCCAGGCAAATCTGGTATCTCAGATCTGTCCTGCGAACTGTCCCCCGACTCTGTCCAGTGGTCCAAATGAATGGACAAGCCAAGGGAATAGACTAAACATTGTCCTTGGGAAGCTCTCGGCTTCTGACATACTCGTGATGACAAGACAACATGAAATTAGGTCCCAAATAGGCCCATGGCTTAGAAGAAAATCACACCTAAGCCATTTTTAGCACCAGTAGCTCCATTCTCTTGCAACAGAGAATGAGGCATGAAGAAGTGAGAGCATGGACCTGAAGACCTCACAGGGCTCCCTTCTGATGCTCCCGCTTGGCTTCATAAGGAAGCTCTGCCAGAGCCAGTCACTCCCCAACTCTCTTCCCCAAAGAACTCATCCAAGAAGGCAAGGATGCCATTCCCAGGGGCTCTGAGAGGCCAAATCATACCTGGGACAGTCGAGTGGCTCTCACAGACCTGAAAATAACAGGAGCTGACAGGCACATCAGAGCTGGCCCCAAAGTCAGAGACTGTCACCACCGTCCTAACCCTGATAAACCTCAGGATGAGGTGGACACAACAGTGGCTACAGAGCCAATCTGAGCCGGAAGAGCGAGAGAGCAAGTGACAGGCAACAAAGCAGCTCTAAAGAAAGGCTTCACCGAAAGGCCAGTCCAACCCACCGACCCCATCTGAAATCCCCAGGACAGTCCGGCCCCCCAGGAACCTCTGGCCCGAGGTCCAGCTAGAGTCAAAGGTCAGGGCTCCCCAGTACCCACAAAGGGCCCTACTCTGGGAAGGGACGCCTATGCGGTCTAACCCCGTCAGGGCTGAGAGTGGCCCCGGCTGAGCTCCAGCGTTGTCTCCCAGCCCCCACAGCACTGTCCACAGGCACCCAGGCCTTCCCCAGAAGCCCTCCCACGGCCACCCCAGATCAGGGCCACTTACCCGGCTATACACGTGCCTCTTGCTCTGGGCCATGTTGCTCACTCGGCCTCCACCCCCTCCCCCAGCTGACCAAAGACAGAGAGAAAAGGCAGAAACCTAGGCAGGAGGGCTAGGGCTCCAGGCCCTCATGGACACACACAGAAGCCAGCAGGCGGGGCCCGCCCCCGTCCATGGACCTCACTGGGTGGCCTACTGGGGTCGGGGTGGGAACGGAGAAAGGGGCTGAGGAGCAAGTCCCCTCTGCTGCTGGAGGATTCCTGAACCCAGAGACACCGACCCTGCTTGCCAGCTGATGAGTCTCACTCTGCGCTAGTGCTGCTCTAGACTTGTCAGGGACGAGCTAGCCTCTGGGTCCTAGTGCCCCCCTGCTGCACCCGGGCCAGTCAAGACGGGGAAGGAGCGACGGGCCCAGGCAGACTCTCAACACTCACCTCTAGAGGACACTGTCCGACGCTGGTGGCACAGCCCTGATGACTCTCCTGGTCTGCACCCCTCTCCATCTCTACCACCCGCCCACCCCCACAACAGGAGCGGGCAGCAGACCTGTGAGCATCAAGCGACGATCCAAAACAATCAGCTACCCAGGGCCTCCTCCCAGCCAGAAGGGTCTCTCACCCCCTTTCTGATGCTCTTCCTTCTCCCTCCTCTTTCTAAACTTGGGACTCAAACCACACGAGCAGGGTTTAAATTTCAATCTCACCCTGGGCCAGAGCAGCCAGGCCCCCTGCCCAATACACAGCAAAGGAAGAGCAGCAATGGAGGCAACTACACACACACACACACACAACACACACACACATGCACACATGCACATACACGCACATGTGCGCGTGCACATAAACACATGCACACACACCCCACACATACATACACACACACACATGCACACACACATACACAAACACATACACACATATGCACATACACCCCACACATACATACACACATACACACCCACATACACACACACGCACACACATGAACACACATGCACATACACACACCCCACACATACACGCACATGTGCGCGCACACATACACACATGCACACATGCACACACCCCGCACATACATACACACACATGCACATACACATGCACACACACACAAACACATACACACATATGCACATACACACACGCCACACATACATACATGCACACACATACACACATACACACCCACATACACACGCACGCACACATGAACACACATGCACATACACACACCCCACACATACACACACCCCATACACATACACACACACATGCACATACACACATACACAAACACATACACACATGCACATACACGTGCACATACACACACATACACACACCCACACACACACATGTACACATGCACATACACACACCCCCACACATACACACACACACATGCATGTACACATACCCCCCCACACACACCACACACATACATACACATGCACATACACACATGCACACACACATACACACACACGCACATGCACATACACACACACCCCACACACACACATACACACACATACACCACACACATACACACACACACAACAAAGCAAGTCAAGTATTCCAGCTTCCCCCAAACTGGCAAAGGTTGCCATGCCCCTAAGTAGCCATCCTAGGGTCTGACCTATGGCTCCACCAGGTCGGTATGGATGTGGATCCCCTGGGCCGAGAGCTACCTGTCTTGTCCACGCTGGGCTTCACTGGCCGAACAGGGTCTTCCTCCATTCCACTCTTTCTAAGGAAAACTAGACACCTAATAGTAGAATGACAGCCAACAGCCAGATATAGGGTCCCCAAAATACCTCTCCACATCTCCAATGCTGGTCAGACCCCCTAGGAAACCATTTCTCTCCTCTCCTGCAAAATATCCATGCTGCCCCCTCCTTTCCCTATTCACCATTATGCAGGGCCACACAGTTCCTTGCAAATTGGACTTCTGCATTTTCAGAGCACCTTACAGTGTACAGAGCACCTTAAAAAAACAATCGTTAGTACTATGGTTCAGAGTACCAATTCTAGACTCAGAATGCTTACATTCAATTCATGGTTTCACCATTTGATAGCTACAAAAGCTTGGTCCAGCTACTTAACATCTTAGTGCCTCAATCTGCTCACCTGTCAACTGCAAGCAAAGAACATCTCAGAGCTGCTGTGAGAATTAGCTGAGACAATCCATGTATAACATTTAGGACAGCGCCTGGTATTCAGAGTACTCAACAAAAGTTAGCTAATAACAAAAGTTATTATCAAATCTGGACATCAAAATAACTCCACAGAGGCAGGCTAGGAGCAATTCTAACAAGAAATTGGGGCTTGGAGAACTGAGCAACTTCTCTGAAGTTACACACAAGACAAGGAGAGGAGCCAACACTAGAGCCAAAGCCTGAATCAGAACCCTGTGTACTTCCACTCTCCTGTTACCACACATCATTCTAGGCCTCCAAAAATACGTTCTTCCTCTGGACCACATTACCTTCAAAGATTCAAAAGAGCACACATCTAAGGACATCACAGAGCTCACCAGCAACACAAGTACACACAGTCATCTAACTTCTTGGATGCTGTTTCTTCTGTAAAATGGGACTATTACCTGGCATATCTACACTAATACTCAAATAAGATAAAGCATATAAAAGTGCTCTATAAAAAGCGCAGAAGCTGTACAGGTCTTAAAATGTCTAGGCAATACATATTACAAAGAACTACAGCAAGCAGAAAGGTGAGCTAGAAAGAAAAGGGGTACTTGATTATGCCTTATATGAGTTTTTTGGTTTTTTTTTTTTGCAGGGGGGCAGAATATATGGAAAGGAAAGGCCTACAAACATAATTTGTGACTACAGTATGAGTAGATAAAGAATAATTCTGCTCGACTGGAGAAAACTAAAGATGCCTAGCTTGGCTGAAGTAAAGAATTCTAGATGAGTTCTCCTATCAAACTGTAAGCCTGTTAAAGCAGACTCCACAACTTTTCCTCTTGATGATTTCATCACTCTTGGCACATGGTCTCAAATATTATTGAATGAACTAACACTGGTGTTGAGATGTATTAGAAGGTAAATATGGATAGATTCAGGGAGTTTAACAACAGGTAGAGATAGATGAATTGGATCCAATAACAACAGGAAGCCAGACTCTTCCTGAGCAGGAAACTGGCATAATGAAAACTATTTTAGGAACATCAAACAGGTGGTGGACAGAGGGATGGAGTTGAGGCAGAGCAACTTGATAAAGACAGAGATGACAGCAAGGAAGCTAATGGCAATAATGAGCAAGGGTTTGACGGGGTCTGAACCAGGCTCATAAGAGAAAAAGAAAGGGAAGAGACAGTACGAAAAAACAACAACAACAACTCTGAGAAGGACCTATGATAGATCAAACACGGGGAAAGGAGCAGCAGGCCTGTATGGGCTCTGGAGATGGACAGATCTGGGTTCTGTTCTTTGGTTCTCCCACTTCCTCACCGGTATGACTCTAGGTAACATATTTTAGGAGCCCTCGTTACCTTACCTGAAAAAAGTGGGAAATAATACTTACCTCACAGGGATGTTACGAAGGTTAACTAAGAGAGAAGTAAAGCATTTAGCACAGTGCTTAGCATAGAATATGTGTTCAACAAATTGTAGATACGTCTTCATCATCACTGGGAGGGTACATCAATGACAACTGCACACAGAAGGAACTCAGAGGTTGCACGAATAAGTGGATGGAAGGATGAGTGCATGGATAAGTAAGGAATGAATAAACCTGGGATGTCTCAAGCAGAAGCAATGAGAATGATGATAACAGAGTTGAGAAGGGAAACTGAACATGTTAAGAGAGAGGAAATAAGTCACAAGGCCTTCTCAGGGGCAAATTTAACTGTGACCACTAACACATGAATTTCACGATCTCCTTCCAACACGAACCGGTGATGAAGACAACACGGATTCTGTTATTTCCATTTTACAGGTGACAGAACCAAGTCTCAAAAGTCAAACAACTCATCTAAGTCTCATAGCCAGTGGGGAAGATTTGACTAGCTGGAAATGGCAACCTAGTCCAGTACTCTTGCCTGGGAAATCCCATGGACAGAGGAGCCTGGCAGGCTACAGTCCATGGGGTCGCAGAGAGTCAGACACGACTGAAGCGACTAAACAACAACAACAGGTAGGTGATCCTTCACCAGCATCTTTGGGATCCACCCCAAGTCACACAGAACAATTGTAAGTTATGTGTTACCTCAACCAGAAGACAGATACTCCCTGGATTTCTCATCCCTTTTCCTCCCCAATGACATTAAAAATTGCTAAAAAGTCTAGGAAAATGGGAAGAGACAAGGGACACAAATCTAAGTCTGATAAACAGGTTACCAGTGGACTTGGTGAACATTTCAGAAATGACAGGAAAAGAAGTAGATTATTGGGAATTAAGGAGGAACTGGTAAGGAGGAAAAGTCTCTTTGGCACCCAGTCTGCACCATTTCCACCTTGCTTTTTACTGGTATACCAATATCCTTTGAGCCCCTGACATCTTCTTGTCTCACCTTACCAAACCTTGATCCTGGGCTAACCCAATCATTTGCTTTCTCTGATTCCACCTGTAGAGGTTTGAAATTCAGGCAGTCTGACAGCAGGGTCCACACACTTGAACTGAACTGCATTAGGCACTGGGTACTTTGATTTGGTTGCAAAGAGATAAAATGAAACATAAAGGTAATCAGCAAGATACGGATTTTCTTAAAACTAGGGTGAAGTTGTACATCTTAAAAGCACTAGTAGATGAGGGATATGTGTGGATATAAGGCCATTAAGATTCAGGAAAGGAGAGGGGAACAGAAGCTTAGGGACTGGAAGCTTGGAGGGCTGGATTCCTGATACACCCAGAAAGAAAATACATGGAGCCTTTTGCCTTGCAAATCTCACAGAGACAGGACCTAGGCCCTAAACAGACTTTTTTTTTAAACCTCTCCAAGCTCTTCATTTATCCCCAGAAATGTCTGTAGCCCACTCCCAAACTGAATACAGGTCTACTCCCTCCCAGGAT